GCCTTTGGGACCTTTCTGTGCCAAAACATTCGCGTCGACCATCAGCCCTTGGGTCATTTTGAAAGATGCGCTGGAGCCATTTCATGTTCAGGGGATACCAAACGAGACGGAGTTACATCCCTATCTGCAGGAGACCCGCAAAGAGAATGTCTACGACATCAATCTGGAAGTCGAGCTGAGAGGTACGTCGAGACTGCGATCAGATTGAAGCACTTGGCAAAAACTGATGGATATCAAACACAGCACCTAACGGCGAGTCTGCAATTTTGTCACGCACAAACGCCCGCAATCTCGTGTTCTCTTTCGCACAAATGCTCGCCCATCATACCGTGGGCGGCTGCCCTATGGAAGTGGGTGATCTGATCGGGTCAGGGACCATCAGTGGCACAGAACCTGGGACTTTGGGCTCTTTCCTCGAAGCCTCCAACGGAGGCAAGAGGAGTTTCGATCTATCTGCTACGATCCGCCGGACTTTCCTGGAGGACGGAGACAGTATTGTCATTCGAGGATGGTGCGGTGATGATGATTCGAACCTGGTAGGCTTTGGCGAGTGCTCAGGAACGATCTTGCCATCGATTAAACCGTCCTGGATATAGAAATATATTGCAACCGAGACATACTTGGGCTATCATGGTGCTCGAAAAAATATCTGTAATCTTGAGTTCCTAACAAATTTACCTCACAAGGACATGAGTATTCGCGCTGGAAGTGGGCGCTTCACGTCTTGTAATGGAAGTAGTCGCCTACAGAAAATCTTCGGCGGCCTCTCCACTTGACTATGGTGTCCAAGGGTCACGTAAAGATTTCGTTCCGTCTCTTCTGTAGGTCTAGGATGTTGAGATGGGACCATCAGGCGTTTCGGATGGGAGCATAGGCTCGAACAACCGCCCTCCCTACCAGGATCCGAGGATATTGGTGCTTTCAGCTCGTGCAAGATGCCGCCGGATGTCCCGGGCAGGGCATGGTGGAAACGAACAGCTCTTCGCGGTTAGGTAGGTACCCTTTGTGTTCGAGAACTCCGGCCAGACTGATCGTAGCTATTGTCCTTGTGCAAGAGGTGAGGTTGGGAATCTTCAAAAAGACTTTCAACCGCTGAAACCACAAAAGCAGAAGGCAGTGAGGACGAGCTGGATCAGTGCCGTGCTCGTTTGCTCTGCTTCACCGGCCGAGAATGGGAAGCAGCATGGCAGACCTGCTGCCGGTTGCAGCGGGAAAACTCCATCGAATGACCAGGTTCAGCGAGCTTCTGAACGCTTCCTTCACGTGGGTTGCGATCTTTGCTGGGCTGGTGTTTCTGGTCGGGGTGGTGTTGATCTTCGACACCACGGACGTTCCGCACATCAGACACCTGCCGTCCGTACCTGGGCTTCCCATACTTGGAAGTCTGGCTCAATTGGGGAGCGAACAGCCCCGACGGCTGGCAGAGTTGTCCAAGAGGTATGGACCGGTGTTCCAGATCAGGCTGGGAAACAAAGTGAGCCCCAGAATGAATCTTCACTCCAGTCTGAAAAGCAAAGACAGCTAACCGGTCCATCCATCCTTCTGGCTAGAGGTTCGTCGTTGCAAACAGCTTCGATTCCGTCAGGACACTCTGGGTCAGTAATCAGTCAAGCTTGATCTCGCGGCCAACATTGCACACCTTTCACAATGTTCTATCTTCATCGCAAGGATTCACCATTGGCACATCGCCATGGGATGAATCTTGCAAAAGGCGACGCAAGGCCGCCGCCACTGCATTGAACAGACCTTCCGTTGTGTCTTACATGCCATTTGTCGACCTGGAATCCTATGCCAGCATCAAAGAACTGGTGGACCACATCGGGGGAGGCGAGGACCAAGTCGACCTCGACCCGTATCCCATGTTTCAACGCCTGGCACTCAATCTGAGCTTGACTCTCGGTTATGGGTTCCGCATTGGCGGCTCGGTCGACAACGATCTTTTGCGCGAGATTATCACTGTTGAACGTGGCATCAGCACCCTCAGAAGCACCAGCAACAACTGGCAAGATTTTGTCCCGCTGCTGAGGATTTTCTCCACACGGTCGAACCACGCATCTGACCTCCGGCACCGGCGAGATGTCTACCTGGAATACCTCTTGCAAAGACTGAAGGAAAAGATCGCCAATGGCTCCAACGTCTCTTGTATCACCGGGAACATCCTGCAGGATCCTGAATGCAAGCTCAATCACGGTACGATTTTTCATTTCCTTGACCCTTTTTGTTGATGTCCGCCTGGGCCGATGAAGATGCGTTACAACACGAAAACATCTCGCTGACCGGGACATTCCATGTAGCGGAGATCAAATCAATCTGCGTGACGATGATTGCTGGAGGATTGGATACCACTCCGGCCTGCATGTTGCTGGGCACTGCCATTCTTTCGGGACCCCAAGGAGCCTCACTGCAGAAGAAGCTCCTCGACGAAATCCACCGCATCTATCCCGACGGAGACGCCTGGGGAAAGTGTCTCGTCGAGGAGAAATGTGCCTACGTGATGGCCTTTTGCAAGGAAGTCCTTCGCTTCTGGACGGTCATCCCCATGTCTCTGCCACGAGTGAGCATCAAAGATGTGGTCTACCAAGGGGCAACCATCCCCGCCGGAACGACGTTCCTGATGGTAAGTCGAACACCTGCCCCAGAAGATGAATTCCCCATCCCTCCTCGCGTTTTTGTTCTCGTCAGATTGAGTGTGACTGATGTATCCGCCAAGAATGCGTGGGCGGCCGATCATGATGCGGATCACTTCCAGGCCCCCGAAGAGTTCAGGCCGGAACGCTTTTTGGACCTCGCGGACGGCTCGGGGACGCAGCATTTCGCCTTCGGAGCAGGCTCCCGCATGTGCACCGGCTCGCACTTGGCGTACAGGGAGATGTACATCACGTTTATCCGGATGCTTGTCGCACTTGAAGTCCTGCCGGCCGAGGATCCGGCGCAGCGCCCGGTCTTGACGGGTCCTCTCGAGTGCAACGCCAACCCGACGGGGCTGTCCATAGAGCCGAAACCGTTCAAGATCGGGTTCCGCGTGCGTGACGGGGGGCGCCTTCGAGAGTGGTTTGCGCAGACGGTCGAGGCCACCAGCCACATTGAGCAATGATTAGACAGGGATATGTTCTACTCGAGGCCACCGGCCACATTGAGCAACGATTAGACATAGACATGATTTCCTCGAGGCCCAGTGATATCTGTGTCTCTTGTCAACAAGCCCTTGTTCGCCACATTCACGCCGCCTGCCGTTGTATCGTTCTAGGCCTTTCGTAGGACTGAAGAAAAGGCAGACCGTGTCCCAGCACCTTCATTTCTCCATGACAGGTCAATATCCATATGAGAAGTGAGTCCTCGAAGCAGGCACAGAAGGAGAACGGGATCACGGAGCCACGCTGACGAAAGATATTTTCATTCTGGCTACCTTGAGTGAACGGTTTTGGTAACCATCCTCGATGTCAGTAACTATGCTCGATTCCTACACATCTGCCATTCTTGCCAACTGGAGGATCCAGTTGACGGTCTCCTTCTCGGCCGTCAAGTTCGGCATGTGGCCCGTCCGCACCGCCGTAACGTGTACGCTTCGGCCACTTTCCCGCTCGACCCTCTCGATCCAGGATCTTTGCAGATCGGGAGGCCCGACCAGGTCCTCCTCGCAGAGTAAGTAGGACACAGGAATGTCCCTGTACCCCGTCTGTGTCACCGGGTCGAGGAAGCTTTGGGCCGAGTGCTTGGCAAAGTCCCCGACGATGGCGGCCCCCTTGTCAGGCGGCAGGTGTTGGAGGATGAGGCCGGCGGTCGCCGCGGGGTCGGCCATCAGCATCCAGCCATGTTCCTGAAGCAATGAGGATTTATGAGCGCGAGTCTCGAGCCGACAGCCCCACGGTCGAAAACAGGAAATGAGCAGGAAAGGGAGAGGGAAAAGGCTTACATCGACGTCGATGGGAGGATGTTTCTCGGCTGGTACCACGCTTATGGCTCCGCGCGCTGACTGGCCGTGGGCGGGGATGATGGCACTCATGTAGCCCAGCCGAACGATGCCGCCAGGTTTGCCCTGGGCCTTGCGCTGCTCCTTGCCCAGGCCGTGGGAGGCTTGGGTCATCGGGACGCCGCCATAAGAGTGGCCGACGATGACCACGTCCTTGCCCTCATCGGCGAGCCTTTCGACTTCCTGTGCGAGCACCGCTGCGTCGTCGTACATGGAAGGCGCTGTGTGCGCATAGCCTTGTCGACTGCTGGGACCTACCGTCGGTGGATGGATGCCCTTGATCTCACATCCCGCTTCGGTGACCGCGTTGAGGAGAGGCTGGTAGAGGGGAAGCAGGCAATACGAGCCCGGGAAGAAGAGAACGGAAATTTGGGACATGGTGATAGTTACGACCAAAGACCCCTTTTGACAGTTCGCATCATCGAGGCCAGGACCGTGGCGATTCAGAACGGCCCCCTTTTGAGCTTTTTCACAAACACTGCAATCGCCCTGGCTGAGACGGACGGGTTTCGGTCGAAATGGTGTGTGTTTGTAATGCGAACACGCGAAGCTCGTTACATCCGCTGGGTGTTGAGAGGGCGTCGGTGCTCCTCGTTCCGTCTAGACGGCCCGAGGTGAAGGTTAATGTCGGATTACCCGCCGGCAATTCTGCCACATAATATATCAAAGGACGATTCGTCATGGGGGTCGCCCAATGCGAGGCGTGACTTGACCAGGCGTTGGTCAATTTGCCGAGATGGATTTTATGAATGACCCTCAATGGGACGGAGTCGTTACAGGACCTGGGTCACAGGTCCCGTTGACGAGGCCAGAGCAGGCTGACCGAGGCTGACCAACCGGAGGTGGGCACAGGGGAAGGAAATCTGGCCTCGCTCCCTTTCCTAAAAGAAACTAGTGGGGGATAAAGCATAGTTCGTGGTACATATAAGTTAATGTATACATACATATATAAGGCGGTATTAAGCAGGCCTGGCTGAGTCTACCTAGGAGAGCTTCGTGGGGTACGGTAGGGTAAGCAAGGACGCTAGACCTATGAAGAAGCAAAGTCTCCTCCAATATCGGGGAATTCACTCATATTCAACAGGTACGGGTCGAAGATGAAGTCATTCATGACCGCCTCATAAGACCCCCAGGCGCCTTGGTCGGGGTCTTTGGTATCGTCGTCGGCCACACGGTACGCATCCGCCGCAGAACGGCCCGGCGTGGAGAAGAGGTGTGAAATGCGCGGGTGATCCTCGACCAGACACGCCAGCGTCCGCCGCATGCGCGCGGTGATGTGGAAATGGACCTGGAGGGCTTCGAGCATCTCGTCGGCCAGCTTCAGCCAGTGGACGCCCGTGTCGTCGATGGATTGTGGTGGCAGTCGGCGGAGGTGCGCGATCAGCGCGGTGGCCGCGACGAACAGATTGTCCAGCACGATGGACGGCGTCGTCTCCACCCCAAAGGTCTCGCGATACGTCACCGCGAGCTGGATGATGGTGACGGCATTGTGGTGGAGGACTTCCTGCGACGCCTCAGGCGACCACCCGCGGAGCACAGGGTTGGGCGACGCGTAGCCGTGGTCGCTGTGCTTGCGCTTCCTCGAGTTGACGCTGGGGAGCGAGTGCAACAGGATCTGAACCCGCAGGAACTGCATGTGCAGACCGTAGGCGGCCGAGTCGAGGGCACTGATGTTGTTCTGGTCCAGGGCAATCGAGGCGGGCAGATTCTTGTGCCAGTGCCGGAGTCCCTGCTCCAGCTCGGAAAGTCGGTCAATGGTTCTGTTGTCGATGCTCGCCTGGTCGTTGATGAGGGCAGTGATCTCGGCCAGGAAGACACAGAGGTCGAGCCAGGGCCGCAGGGTCACATTCTCGGAGGCATCGGCGATTGAGACGGCGAGGGGCATCCCGGACACGGAAAGTGTGCTCTGACGGCCCAGATAGAAGCACCACAGCGTCTCGTAGACGAGGCAGCCTGCCGTGGCCGAGGCGCAGATGTGGGCGTGGTTCGGATCCAAATCGATATCTCGGGTCGTATCCACGGGTTCCTTGTGCAGACCGAGATCGATGAGGATGCGACAGGCAATTCCTACACCCCGATATTAGCGGTGACTGCGGCCCTACATAAAAGGGCGAGCTGGAGTATACCACAGTAAATCCATCCCACTCGATCATGGCCCTCGCTCATTTCGTAGTCGCTGAGGAGGAGCAAACCTTGGACAGTGGCAAGGTTAGGATCCTGGAGCTCAGCCACCAAGTCGGCCTTTGCACGTTTGGCATAGGCGCTGCTCAAGGCCCGCACCGCGGCGGACGTGCTCAGGCGGGCACTACAGGCCAGGGCCGAGTTTTCGTAGAAAGTCGAATAGTACTGAGATCTCAGGCCCTCTTTGCGGTGTGACAGGAAGCTTTCTCGATGCACCAGGTCGACGGTGCATTTCTGGAAGCGACAATAGCTGTCGATGAGCACCGACTTGAGCCTGGCCGAGTCCATGTCCACGTGGACGCGCGGGATCGGCCCGGCATCGTCCTGTCCGCGGGTGTCGGATGGCGAGGAGACGTGCAGAGGACACGACGGACCAAAATAGGCCCCTTTGCCCCTGCTCGGGCAAGACTGGCGCATCTGCCGTTGATCGCGTCTGGGGATCGTGACCGTCCCGCCGCCCGCTTCGATCGTGTCTTGGACAAAGCCGTTTGCGACGACCGAGCCGGCGACCGAGGGGGCTCTTGGCGACTCGATGGCGAAGTCGCGCATAGCCGGCAGTGCGTCGGCGCAGATTGCAGCCGGTCTGACGACGGGTAAGCATTCCACCCTTTGAGAGAAGGAAGAACATGGCAATACTGTGCTGGGTGGGGGCGTGGATACATCTGATGGCTCAGCAGTGCTCTGTCCAGATCCTCGTCCGGCTGGGAGGTCATCATCGACCGTCCCATGGACGGGACTGTGTGACTGAGTGAGGCTGACGGCGACGCTGCGACCAAAGCAGGTCCATTTCGAGGTGGCAGGTGAGAGAACAAGGCGTCGGGGTGGGAGGATGAACAGGAGCTGTTCCTGCGAACGAGGGCCTCCAACTCCGCGATGCGATGCTGGAGAGTGGCCAGATGCTGACGAGAGCCGTGTCTGAGCCCTGTGAGCCATTGAATCAGAGAGAACTAGCAACACTTACTTTCTGCGGTCGGAGAAGACGTTGACCTTGCATTGGCTCTTTGATTGTGCACAAGCCGTGCAGCTGGAACCGGACGGCCGGCTCTCGACATCACACTGCAGCCATGGTCAACAATGCCACCCTGTCTCGCGTGTCATCAAACAAGCCGACCGACTTTGATCTTGCGCAGGCGGCAATTGTGGCAGGCCAGCGAGGAGCGGGTTCGGGTGGTGGGTTTGTGATGAGTGTTGGTGGTGGTGGATGTGGTGGTGGTGATGGTAGGTTGCGATGGAGGACTCATTGTGTTGCTTGCCGCCGTCTCTCCAGAAAATCCTGCGAGTCGGTCAAGTCCCTGAATTGAAGCTCTCTTTGTTCATGTATCTGTCAACAGAATGGTTGTCGCTGTCCTTGTACACGAGGTTGGGGAGTTGGCTTGACCTGGCCTGACCTGACCTGGCCTGAAGTGCGGGGCCCCAGAAAACGCTGCGACAGCGACCACGACCAACAAGGGACACCAATTACTCACCTTTCCTCTTCTCGCAAAGTCTCAAGGAATGGCGTCGCAGAATTAGGGTTACCATTCTCCGAAGACCCAATGGGCCATGTTGGGGCGGGGCAGGGCGAGGCAGGGCTATTATTATCCGGAAGGTGTCGGCGAGGTCGTTGGAACGGCCTCTGTGATTCTTCTCGGATTGGATCTTGAGGTGTGAACTGAGTGTTTGCTTCTTGCGGCCGCCAATGATGATTTCGCCACCAAGCAGCGAGATAGGCCTACGAGGGCACGCCTGGAGAATGAAGTTCCATGTTTATACATAAAGATACCGACCCTTCTTTTGGACTGAGAGTGTTGACCATCCCAGATAACAACACTGTACACCGTCTAGCTCACACATTCTACTGCTGCGTTGGCATCGCGACCTGCTTTTCCGTGGCAAGGGCGTCCTCGGCGCGCCAGAGGCTTGTGACGGTCTTCCACTGGGTATAAAAGCGAATGCCGTCCTTTCCATAAAAGTTGGCCATGCCAGTTCCAGCCACCGATCTCTTGTTCCCAGTAAACGAGAACATGGGCAGCGGCACAGGGATTGGAACATTGATACCAATCTGACCGGCCTCCAGAGACTTTTGAAACAATGTTGCTGTCGAGCCGGAGCTCGTGAAGACCTTCAACGACATCAGTATTGGCCAACTCAAATACATTTAACGAGAAAGAACTTACCGAAGCGCCATTTCCGTACTCATTGCTGTTGATAAGCTCCACAGCGGCCTCGACAGTATCAACAGCCAAGCACACAAGGACAGGACCAAAAATCTCCTCGGTATAGCATCTCATATGTGGCTTGACGTTCGTGATGATGGTGGGAGCGACCCAATTGCCCTGTGCGAACAGGCTGTTCTCAGGCTTCTGCCCACGTCCGTCGAGCAAGATAGTAGCACCCTCAGCTTCAGCACTGGCAATGAGATCCTCAACCCGCTTCTTGGATTCTGGCGAAATCACGGGGCCAAAGTCAGCATCTGGCTCAAAGCCACCAGTGAACTTCAGCTGGGAGGCTCTTTCCACCAGCTGGGGCAGCCAATTCTTCGTTTCACCCACAAGAACGAGAGCAGATAGTGCCATGCAGCGTTGACCAGCCGCGCCAAATGCGGCGCCGATGATGGCATTCAGTGCATGATTTTGGTTGCAGTCAGGGAGGAGAGCTGCGTGGTTTTTGGCCCCGAGATTGGCTTGTACTCTCTTGCCGTTTGCAGTTCCCCGCGTCCATACGTACTCTCCGGCCCTATTCGACCCGACAAATGATATGGCCTTGATGCTAGGGTCGTCGAGAATGAAGTTGACTGTCGGGTGTGCTCCGTGCACAATATTGAGGACGCCGGGAGGCACGCCTGCCTCCACGCAGAGCTCTGCAATGATCATAGCTGCTCCAGGATCGCGCTCTGAGGGTTTGAGGATCAGGGTGTTTCCGGTAACTAGTGCCAGCGGGAGCGACCAGAGCGGGATCATGGCAGGGAAGTTGAAAGGGCAGATAGCAGCAGTCACGCCCAAAGGCTCTCGGTATGAGCGTGTTTCCATATCCCTAGCCACTTCAATAACTTCTCCAGGTAGCTGCGTGGTGATGCCACAAGCCGTTTCGCACACCTGGAGGCCACGTAGAACATCCCCCTTCGCATCAGCAAAGGTCTTCCCTTGCTCGAGAGTAATGTTCCGCGCAAGGCGATCCATGTTTTCACGCACCAGGTGTGTCAGCTTGAACATCACCTGTTGACGGCGCATAATGGAGGTTGCTTTCCAGGCGGGAAACGCTCGTTGAGAAGAGGCGACGGCGGCTTCCAGTTCAGCTTGCGTAGACTGTGGAACGCGAGTGACAAGAGAATTCGTGGCTGGATCCCGTACGTCGAACCATTGTTCGGCGTGTGAAGGGAGGAATTGGTTTTCGAGGAAGTTGGGAGTGTCCCTAACGGTGGGCACTTTGTCATGAGAGCCATGATCTATAGTAGGTGCCAACACCTTCGGGTTTTTCAAGACGCCAGGCATGATTTCCTTGATATAATGTTGAGCTTTCTATAGGTATGGGCTTGAAAAGTGTGGTGGGCGAGAGCTACTGCCTCTTGATCCGGATGAATGATTGCCAGGAAGGGTGATTTGTGACGGGTCATCCAGACACAGAGCATGGCCAATGGATAGGTGTCTTATATATTTAAGAGATGCGCGTGCTGCTGTGCTGTAATGGTGCCGTCCCGTTTCTGTTTCAGCGAGAATGTCTTCATTGGGTGTAGTTCGAGGTCGGAGAGTATGAGCAGCATCACTGATACTAGGTTGGGTTCGCGAAGTCGGGAGGAAACGCGAGGGGATTGAGCTACGTTGTCGGAACCTGGTCTGCAATAGTGAGTTCGTAAGACGCAGGTTCGAGACCTGCTGGTCGCAATTGTCGAGAGATGTCCGGTCGAATGGCCTTGAGACGAACCCGGCGGTGGTCTTCAACTCTCCCCAACGCAGCCAGAACGTCATCACGAGCGCAGAAATCGAGATTAGTTCCGCTTGCTGAGCCTGTGGTTATCATCTTCTTGTCCGAGTTTCGTCCATACTTACTCCCTTTGCTTTTAGTCACTCCTTGACCTGCGCCCTCAAGAGGCAAAAGGGGCCGGTCCGGCCGGTCCGGTCAAGATAGGCTGCGTATGTAGATCCTCCGGACCGGGTCTATCAATGTATGGTCTTCCTACCCAGTCTGGCTGATCTCACATTTTTGGATAGTAACCACCATCAGCCACTGTATCCTCGGCTCCTTGTCGATTTGTGAGCGGGGGGTTTCTCGGGGCCCCGGAGACCTTATACGGCTCCCCAACGGAAAGTTTGACGGATACTCTGGTACAGTTGAAGGAGCTGGCTCCCCCATCGATGGGCATATATCCAGGCCCTTCTCGCTCTTCATCACTTCTCTCGCCAAGTGACAGCCGACGTATTCGTCCCTCTCCAAAATGATTGCCAAGTTCCCGCACATAACAGCAAGCCCGGAGATCTGGGGCCCTGGCACATTCGTGGACAACGAGGCTCCCGACATCCCCAAAGACTCACGCCGGGTCTTTGAGCTGCTCGCCAGAGCGACTCCAGGCTTCACGCAAGACCCTCGTCTATGGGACTCAGTCTCGTTCGAAGGCAGTGCCGAGCCCATCGCACCGGGCCCGCTCAAAGCTCCCGTCGTTGCTGCCGCTCTACACGCCATGTGTGGTGTGGTTGCGAAGGAACTTCTGGAGCAGAGAGACGGGGGCCGTTCCGACCATCACGCAACGATCAATACCGATCACGCGGCGCTGTGGTTAGGTACCACTGCAATCACCAAACGCAACGGCATCACCGTGCCGCAATTGTCGAAGAGTGGAAACCTTGGGGAGATTTTCCCCAAAGACCTAGAGAAAGACACGTTCAAGACGCCCCTGAGATTGCGCACAACGGCCTGCTACCCCACGAAAAAGGAGGGCGTCTGGTTTCAGCTGCACGGCTCGCTCAACGCGGATCCCGTCCTTCGAGCCATCGGGTTGGAGCCCGCCACCCCGTGTGAGAGCCGCGAAGACGCGTACAAGGTCATCGGCGAGGAAGTCCGCAAGTTCGGGCCGGAACAGCTTGAGATGATTCACGTCTACAAGGGCCTCTGCGGTACCATGTGTCATACGCCAGAGGCGTGGAGGCAGACACAGATGCACAAGGAGCTCTCCAAACACCCACTGGTGAACTACGCACATGTGCCATACATGGTGCCGACTCCTGCCGTGCCATTCTTCCCCGCCCCGAGTACAGACAAACGACCCTTGGCCGGGATCAAAGTGGTCGAGTTGGTCCGCATCATTGCTGGCCCGGTTATTGGAACGACCCTGGCATCGCTTGGAGCAGATGTCATCCGTGTCAACTGCAGCCGGCTTCCCGATTTCAATACTCTGCAGCTGACCTTGAACGCTGGCGTCCGAACCGCCGACCTGGACCTGAGCAAGAGCGAGGATCTCTTCAAATTGAAGGAGCTGATCCAGGAAGCGGATGTCTTTGTCCAAGGCTACCGTCCCGGCGTCTTCAAGCGAAAAGGCCTGGGTCTCCACGACGTGCTCGACATGGCGAGCAAGAGGG